CCGTATCGATACAAACAATCATACTTATGAATATGAATATATGTACTGCGCGAGGAATCTATTTGTTTTTTGGTAAAGCAGTTCAATTTCATTTATATATCTGACGTTGTCTGACCTCCATCTATGACTAAACCTGTACATATATAACAATAAAACATTAAAAATAATATTCAGAAAACATAACAGAATTTAGGCCTATTTTTTACTGCATCAGTGTCAAAATATATTGTAAAGTGTTTGTATAATCTTTCATTAAAGTTATCATTTTATACTTTACGTTAGACAAAATTAAGGACCACCGAGATAGAGAGATAGAACAACTATTAACGAATTGATATTTTAAAATTGTTTTAAATAGCACTGATGCTAGACCTGCCAGTCTACTCTGGAGACTAATTCCGATACGATGACAATGGATTCTGCCGTTCTGATAGATATATACAGTGGATATACAGCAGTAAATATAGTTTATTCTCTAATACGTCAGCGTTGTATGTGTGACATATTTTTTATTTTTTTTATTGGGTTGTTTGGGCTATTGTCAGGTGCATGGACCTGTAAAAATGCGACCTACATAGATCTATTGTGCTCGCCCTTATCAGAGTTCGCTACCTAGACCCGTCAGGGACAAGAATTGAAGGATATTCTTAGGAGCGATGATTTCTATCTCCTCGGGAAAGAGTGTAAACTTTCTCACTCAAAGGAAATATTTCGTTTATGCATGTATGACATAACTATTTATAAGTTTTCAGTTAACAATACACATTTTTCAACACATTTGCTCGTAAAATGAATCAAATTTCACCGGTTTTCGATATATATATATATTATAATTTCCAGCGTGTGGGGATGAAATCCCCTATAACCTAAGTGATCTCGCACAGTGCGGTTTCAGAGGAGTACACTTAGATTGTAGAATGAACTACCTGCCGAGGTTTTCTCAAGAGATTACAGCATGAGGTTTCTTAAGGGTCGGCAACGCGCACGTGACACCCCTAGTGTATCAGGCGTCCATAGGCTACGGTAACCGTTTACCATCAGATGGGCCGTATGCTTCTTTGCCACCTACGTGGTATAATATATATATAAAACAGCTTATAAAATATGCGTGCCCAAATAGAGAAGTTATATCCCATAACCGCACTATTTGCAATTTTTTATTATCAAAATACGAACTGACCGCCGCGCCTCACAAGCCAGTATGTAATGCACTGAATTAAAAAAATTAAACGGCGGGAAAGCAACATTGTGCATCACAGTTTTATGGTTCTTTATTTAAAATCAAATGTGTTGCAAAATGTATTACGATATACGTGCGTATATTACACACACGGCTCTATTGCGCCCCAGACTTCGGCTCGGGCAGATATTTCGTCGTGTGTACCATCATAACGCACTGATATCGTAATATATAGTATTATTAAACATGATTAGTTTTTTTTTTATTAAATAACCAATTGGGCTGGTCATATATTAGGTCACATATTGGTTGTAGACTAAAAGAGGCACCCTACTATATATACTCCTGAACATAGCGCTGTATTTATTCAACATTATATATCTGACATTATTATCCACGCTTCAACAGAACAGCCCATTAAATGCTTATAATTGATATCGAAATTAAACTCCAGAACAGACCCGCTGTTGATATATTGACAATGTGAAATAAATTAATACTTACAACAGCCACAAAATCACAGGGATAAAGAACTATTCGAATATATATTAAAATACAAGCATACACTTACTGTAATATTCACATTGAAAAGAACGAGTGAAGTCAATAGAGGATCCAATAACATAAGAATATTAAAAACACGTTTGAATTTCAAAATTTTAACTTTAACTCGTATTTATCTTAACTATTACAATTACCAAACTTTATTGAATATTACACACGTTTAATATATAGATTCTGTGGCAATATTTTGGAAGAGTTATTCGATAATGAATTCGGTTTAATATCGACTACAAAATGTATGTATCCTACACATTAAAATGTTTTGCATTTAATGCGACAAATCTATATACTCACATCGTTATCTATACATCTCGTACTTTACAACTATAATATAACATTATTAAATCAATTTCTAATGTAACCACATAAATTTATCTATCTATATAACTATAACACCTCGACACTATTGCGTTCATAAGACTCTCACTAGAATATCTATACGATCCAGGTTGAGGGACATTCTACCGACATTAATTCCATCCGTATTGGATTTCATGTAGTTTCATTGTTCAAAATTCATTGCCTTCGTGAGATCGTCTGTTACGTTGCGACGAGATAACTTTCGAATTCCTTAATTTAAAGCAGTGTTCCGCAAACTATTCGATAAAGAAATCTTTGGAATATACCATAGAAAATCTTATACAGCATTTTAAATGTAATACATTATAACACATTTTATGATTTGTTTTTTATGATTATTTTTGCACCACCAACAATTATTCTCAGCATTATGGTTGACTGGTAGAAAATACCGCATGGTGTTAAGTCCACCAAATGTACTGTTACTTTTTGCATTAAAAATCACTCTAAAAATTAAGAAAATCATAATCATTGTTTTTATCTCAATATTAGGATCTTTATCTTTTAAAAATTAAGAGAATATGAATATTTAATGGAAACTAAATGCCTGAGTAACAGAGTTTTATCGAACTATTCGAATACAGTTGGCCGCAGCTGGCCTTTACAGCTTCACCGGTCGATAGGCAAGTGCAGATGGCACTCCAAACCGGCGGAAGGACTTATAGAGCGGCTGAAGGCCAACTCCCGCCTGACGGATACGACTCTAGTCTGAGGGCACCGCTAGGGGTTTAAACCTCAGATCAGGCCGTCGTATAGAACGGGAGGTCGATAGGAGGGTTCTTAACTGAGAACAGGTGGATATTTAGAACATTTACAAGACTATTCCTGATATTTACTATTAATCCGAAGGATATCAACTAATATCCATTGGACAATAGTATGCTATACACGATTTGCGGAACACTCACTTAAAGAACACTAAAGCCTATGTTTCACTAACACGGAGCAATACTTTAAAAGTTTACACGGAAACTATATCGAAGGCACTAGAGTCCTAGTGGATTTTAAAACAACAACACAACATTTACAACTGTTGTTGGGTACAAGTATTTGAGTTGCCGTCTTAGAGGAAACAACATTGGGGAATTCAACAACAGAAATATCTTGATCATTGCTCTCTTATTATATTAATATCATTATAATAACCGTAAACTTGACGTAAGATTTTTAAAAGTATATATATGGTCTGTAATAGAAAATCATTTATTCAAATAAACTTAATGTAAGCACTTTTGAATACTCATAGTTCTTTTTCTTTTAATCTACAGCTCATTCGGAAAGCTACCTCTAAACTTGCGTGTTGCTTAATAATTTTCTCACGAAACTACAGCATGGGGTTTTTCTAGAAGGGTATATTAAGGTTTCTTAAGGGTAGGCAACGCGCTCATGACATCCCTCGTGTTTCAGGTGTCCATAGGCTACGATAACCATTTACCATCAGATGGGCCGTATGCTTGTTTGCCACCATAGTAGTATAAAAAAAAATAACACAATTAATAAAGAAATTAATACAATACCGAAATTGTACAAATTCATATGCATGGATACTTCTGTCACCAATTTCAGCTTCCAAGTAGGTAATGAAGTGTTTCGGTTCAAGGGTAAGATATAGCAGTGGAATTATAGGGTAAAGAAACAAGTCCTTTGAAATGGTAACTCATGTGTGGTACAATGGACGTCTCTTGATGACGTAATGTACGTGATACTGTTCATGTATAGGCGACGGTTGCCACTTACCATTAACCGCAAAGACCGTTAGTCTGTTTACCATTTAATAACAGAAAAAAATGTGTCTTTATTTAACTATTCTAATGCCGCAGCTGGCCTTCACAGCTTCACCGGACGATAGGGGCCGAGTGAAGGCACTCTAAACCCGCGGAAGGACTTATGGAGCGGCTGAAGGCCAACTCCCGCCTGATGGATATGGCTTTAGTCTGAGGGTGTTCGAACCTCGGCTTAGACAGTCGTAATTTTGGAGGGAATAAAAAAAGGTGCATTTACTGTTGCTTCTTTACAAGTCTCGATAAATTTAACGGTTACAAGTCAATGTTTAAAACTTTGAAGTTTGGTTTCTTTTTTTTTTATAACACAGGGGACAAACGAGCATGCGGCTCACCTGATGGTAAGTGATTACCGCCGCCCATGAGCACCCGCAACACCAGGGGACTTGCAAGTACGATGTCGGCCTTTTAAAAAGGAATAAGCTCTTTTCTTGAAGGTTTCAATATTGTTATTTGTTATTTATTGCAGTTAAATTATATATAACTTTTGCCACTTTTTGCGGGAGAGAGGTATTCAAATATATGTAATATTTCAATTTATATATAGGTCTCTACAAAGGATACTGTCTATAAAAACAAAATACAAATATTAAAAAAAAATATCTTTTGGTATGCATTAAGTAATGTCATTCCAAAAGATTAAGATGTCATGTCTGTAATTACACTACCATTTCTCACCCGTCTTACAAAGCACGTCGCTTGGCTTTTGAAATATATGTGATAGAGCTCTACGCAGTTGACTTTGCAGAATATCCTATATATATATGCATTAATACTATTATTTTACATATAAGTAACCTCGTAGCTGAAGCAATGATTCTGCGCACTCATTTATTGACAGACAAGCATAAAATAACCGTGTTGAATTCCCCATGCAGCCATAACGGATCATCCATAATGTGACACCAATTTGGAACGAAGGTGTGACGGGTCATACAATTCTTTTTATACAATGTCACATATTGTCAATTCTCCTCTCCCACGTGTGACGCACAAATTTTGGAAGAGGGTGTGACGAGTCCTAGAATTAATGACTTTTAATAGAATGTCACACTTTGTTAACCCCACATGTGACGTTTATGGATGACCCGTTATGGCTAATAAAGACTCAAATCAGTAAAAATCCGTTCACATTACAATTTACGAATCGGTTTATTTAATTACTATTTAATATATCTGCTCTAACATGATATGACTCGAAATACTATTGACTATAATGAAGTTTCCAAACTATTTGTCTTTTCTATAACGCCTCTTACTCCTGGGAGCTGGATCTCGTTGTTAGAGAAGCGAGATTCGATCCATTATTATCATTAAAACCTTAACTAATACTGTTTCATTTCGTAACACTAGGAAAGGAATCTACAGAGGACGTACCGTTGTCTTCTAACACTGAAAACGGTCACCCATCCTGATCTATAAAACTGTTGTTTTACTTATGTAATACATTTGATTACAATACATAGATTAAAATTGTGACAGATTAAAATGTAAACTTTTGTAATTATATTCGACAATCGCTAAAAACAATTAGCAATTGGAATTATTAAATTATCCTTTACATAATAATCAAAAAAGGATAGATTTTAATCTGATTCAAATGATTTGCAACTGTATTACATAATTAAACTTGATTCACATACTTAAACACAATTGTTGTCTTGAAGCTTAACCACCTAAATATTTATTCGATATTCAATCAATTACATTTCTCCATGTTTCTTTATACAGAACCAATACATACTCTGAAGGGAAAGTACCTTAATTAATAGATACAGTCAAGAATATACTTAAAAATTACGAATTTTACTGGAAATAAACATATTTTTCAAGGATGAGTAAAACTGCATACGTAGTGTAATAAATATAACTATTTTTAGTTAAAACAATACAATCCATTTTGTATTTATTTTCACTAATTACTGCATAAGTTAGTAAGATGTTATGTTAATAAAATATTTATTATTTAACATTTAATTTTTTAATTTCTCTCACATCTCACACATACTACTTTTTATGTAATATTTTAAAAATAGTTTTACTTATTCTTGGGAATTAAGTAATGTTTCTTTTAAGTAATATTCGTTACTTTTCAGCTCCAAGCTACATTCCCTTCATACATTCTGGTACCTTCAATTTACATTACTTCCGTTCATCTCTACATCAGATGAACAAGACTCTTTGTATAACATTACTAATAATAACCATTCAAGTTTTCATTAATGTGTAATTGATCATTAGGTTCCAAAGCCTTTAGGAACTATTAAAAGGTGACAAACATACAACACTGAATAAATCCAACTACAGTATGTACGTCAACGTTATAACATGTTCATTAACGATACAAATCTGATATTATAATGTTAGGCAGTTTCATGTTAGACTTACAAGACATTAATTATATAGATTTTGATTTGTAACCTAATAATTGTTGTTCTGTAATGTTACGGCATGTGCCGTTCACTAGTCCAATGCCTAGTTTCACTATCCTGTTATGACATGTTGCGCGCTGCGACATGTAACACGTTGGGACACGTTCGAACATGTTGTGACACGTTGCGCGCAATGACATGTTACACGTAGCTCTCCACATGTGCGCTAGTGGATGGACCCTAGAAAGACGCCTCCACTAAATATGTCCCGTCCATTGCAACACCAGTCTGGTTGCCTTGCACAGTGCTGCCGGCAGGAATGTATTTACCGCATGCTTGCTGTGAAATATAAGAAAAAATACATAAATATCTAATAACACATGTAATCTGTATGATTATTGAAATATAACCCTAACATTAATACCGATACAGAAGTCAGTATGTCAAAATACTATGAAAGATCAAGTAATCTTAATGTCCAATTAAATAATAAAACCAGGCTTAATAATTCAAAGTTTTCATATATTTTCATATGCTTTTAGTAGTCTTATCGATCTATTCAATGTACATTGTATGATTTTGCACCCACTCGATTGAACAAGTCAGATAGCCTGTTCATAACAGTCACAAATGTGACAATGTGAATAACGCAACTAATCCACCATGTCACATGTTGGATTAAGGAAGCTAATAACAATAGACACGTTTAAGAGACATAATTATAGTTTTTACTATCCTGAACAGGAAAGTGACCTTGTAATTGATTAAGCAATTGTGATAGAGGAGGTCGTAGACAAATTTTGTTTCAATTATTCAGCATCGAAATAGCTATAGAAACTATTTACAAAACTCTTTATTTCGGTACCTAATAAAATAGAGTAAGAGCAGGACATGTTTATGTATTTTCTAATAAAAAGTTAGGAAAATACTGAAAACTGTCTGTATATTATACCTGCCTACTGAACTAACTACATCACATAATTATAACCACACTTTAAACTAAAGTTTACACCATAAAAAGCGAGCGTAGAGCGTAGACAGTCCCCAATAGCAAATATTTGGAAATGTAAAAGAAATACGAAAATATACAAGAAAAAAACATGTGTACGTATAAAATGGAAAAGAAACTGTGATAAGTCAGCGAGAGCAGTGATTCTGTAGGTATGAGTGTTCGGTGCCCACGATACTGTGTGCAGTTCATGCCAAAAAAATACATACAGTCCGGCCACTCAGAGTTTGCGTTTCGGACAGGTCGGGATCGAATGGGCGATGTAACTTTGAACTGACGTACAATTTACGGCAAATTTTTAAATATCTTTTATTCGCCTTATTAACGATTAAAAATTTAATAATTATTCCAATTTACTGAAAACGTATTAATTTTGGGCTATTCTAAATTCTAAAAACAATAGTTTTTAAAAGTCAAACCACATCAAACTGCGTTGTTTCAAGGTTATGTCGACTGTTTGTTTTTGTAGTGATGTGTACCAAATAACCTTGAAACAGCGCAGTTTGAAGTGGTATTACTTTTAAAAAGTATGTACGCACGTCAGTTCAAAGTTACATCGCTCATTCGATCCCGACCTGTCAGAAACGCAAACTGAGCGGCCGGACCTTAGTTCATGTAGACCCATAAGTGTATTATGTATGTGTATAGTATACAGTGACGTCATAAACATGTTTCGACTAGCCAACAGTATTCGCCTATTTTAGCAGAACAATCGTATGTGTTGCCAGGTAGAAAAATATTAAATGTATGCAGTGTGTTGGCAATTATAAAACTGTAGGGTACGCAAACAGTTTTGTTATGTTTCAAGTTTAGTTCAGAACAGACGGACGGAAGTGACATCGCATTTGAGTACAATAACAACACTCCTGGATCTACTAAAAGAAACATTAGTTCATTCTAATAAGAACTAACTCGAAAAATGCTCAATAAATTCAGAATATCCACAAATAGATCGTAAACAACCTTTATATTGTATCTTTTTATGTAACGAGTCGAAGGCCCGCGTAAGGATAACTAGTATATTTTTTTTATTTACGGTTTTGGGTTCTTGCTGATTTTAGACCTGTAGCACTACGACCTATATAGAGAATTGTGCTAGTCCTTTTTTTAAACTTCGCCTAGGCCCATCATGAATGAGATGTCATGCTTCTGTGCTTACCCTGTAATTTCACTGCCTTAACCATTAATCATATCTGACAAACAAAACCAAACAATTAAAATAGGTGTATCAGAGCTATGTATCCATACCACATCCACAACATTCTAAGTTTGATTTCCTTAGTTAATTTTCAGTCATTTATTCAACCATTCCATATAATAAATATTACACATCAAAACCGAAAATGTGAAATGAGAGCCAAGTTCAATATTTATATCATAATAGCTTTGGTTGTTGACTTCAACAACAAAAGAAGTGAGATCTAAATGGGTGCCAAGTTCAATGTTTTGTCCTGAAATTAATCTGAGTTATTAATGGGGTTGGGGTCGAAAGTGGCTCCAAATGATTCGTGTAATATTACAAACAGTGTTGCTCGCCAGTTCTGTTACTTGTACTTGGCTTGACAAGCTACCGCGTTTCTATATAATTTTAAAGACCAATAATATAATTGGTCAATTAATGGACGTTTTTTTTTTATTTTTGTTAATATACGATATTTACGTCACGTACTTTTGATATCTGAAACTATTGAGCACTTTTTCAATTAGATCTTATGTACGATTATTCGAAAAGAGTATACCAAGACAAAAGTCAATAGAATGTACAGAAGAAATAAAACTGAATAACTTTCCCAAAAGAAGTAGAGTGGAAAATTGAAAATATTTTTTTTATAACCTAAAAACAAACTGCGTCATCAAATATGAGAGGTTCAAGATTATTTTGACCATTCTACTTTTGATTTTCGGAAAAAGTGGTCCAGTTTTATAAGTAAGAGAAGGGGGACTAAAATAGTCACCAGGCCCAAAGTGATCGCCCATTTCAATATCATAATAACAATAAATAACCCTGGACAATTAACACAGCGCCATCTAGTCCCTAGCTAAGCGGAGCTTGTGTTATGGGTACTAAACAACTGATATAAATACTCAGATATTTATTTTTTGTAAATACATACATAATATACATAGAAAACACCCAGGGCGATACAAACAATTATACTCATGAATACAAATGATTGCACCGTGTGAGTAATCGAACCCGCGACGATCGCAAGTAAAGCGATGTGCTAAAACGCTAGACACTGAGGATGTCGTAATATAATATAAACTTAATTACTGCTTGTTACCTAATAAGAACGCCGTTGCCTATTGTGCGTCCTATTCGCCTACTTTAGGTCCCATTGGCCTACTTTGGACCGCATTCGCCTATTTTGGGCCCCATTCGCCTATTTTAGTCGGCTTTTAGATTGGTACACTCTTTACGACTAATCCAGTATTACGAAGAAGTAAGCGATTCTTACAATATCAATTAAAAAAATTTACATACTTATTACACAATGAACATAAAGTACTGTTTACAACATAGCATAATCATAGCGCAAGCTTACATTTACACGACATTTATACTTATTACAATACAAATACAGTTTATAATTGGATTATAATTTATCAAGCAGACGAGTATGCAAATATTTCTGGTGCAGCCAACACCCTGCAGACATTTAAAGCTTCGTTTTTATGTTATACGGTTATTACCACACAGCAAATAGGGTTAATATTAATCTAACTTAATTTATAAGTAATATTTACTTAAAACTAAGTAAGTTATATTTATTTATAACTGTACAGTGAGATAGAAAAAAATTGATTTAATTTGTTATTAAAAACAAAATGGCGGTTAAACGGCGGGAAACAAATGTTTCAATTTTTTTCTAAAATGTGTTCTTATTTCAAAAAGTATAGAGCGTTCTTAATGTATAGTATCTGTTAGTCAGAGAATTATGACATAACTCTTCATTTAGTTTTATTATACAATAGAAAAAGCAAAGGAATTACGTCCATGCAGTTATATATTGTAGGTATTTTTTTATATTATAATACTTGATTTGTTTACTATTTAAAAACTACCTTATTAAAGTAATAGCTTATTTAAATACATAGACGAAATTGAAAAATATATGATGGGGCTTCATATGATTTTACAATAGACGTAAGTTAGTAGACGTAAGTTTTATTAGCAACTTTTCTCAAACCTACCGATATGTCGTTAACAATCATTTAAATTCCTATGGTATACAAAACAAATTAAACCTAAAATACCAAATTAAATTTTTAAATATAGCAACACAGTTTTTGCTGTCTGCTTATAACAAAACAAAATTTCACAAACTTATAACAATAACTAGATTAACATAATCTATATTGCATATATGCAGATTCCTGAAATACACATATCGAAAAACTAAACGCAAATAATTTTCACAATATAATATCTGAGGTATAACAAAACGCAAATAAAGCTGCGCACTGACGGCCCGACATCGCTGCGTGGTAATACCGACACACATACTGGTAACGGGTCTTCGCTGGGCGCGGCGGAAACCGACGTGTCGGACGGTCGAGAGGTCGCGGTGTACCGGCGAGCGCCCTTCATCCTTCCCTTTCTACTCGAATCTAAAATCAGGACCTGTCAGAGCCAATTGTAGACTGAGCCTTTGTAGAAATAAAAAAATAAAAATCAACTGTTCTTTTTTTAAATTACATTTTTTAAATGTTCGGTCCCAATTAGAACGATATATTTGTTGTAGGAAAAAAATAAATAGAAAATAACTGTTCTTTTTTTAAACTGCATTTTTAACGGTCCCAAGAATTTAATTATTGTTGTAAATAACTATGTAACCACTTTATTGATATTCTATATTTGAAAGCATTTGCTATTTCTCAAAGATGAATGTTTAATATAACTGCCTCAAGCAGCGTCTCTTACGAAAACAATCTTTATGTGCAATTTCACAAGGTCTTTTTTAGAATAACATTTCAACGAGTGGTTGCATAATTTCAATTTAGGTTATGTTTTAAAAATTAGTGTTTATTTGTTTAGTAGTGTTGTGTGCTTTGAATAGCATTAATCTATGTGTACTGTACTGTACTGTAAGTGATAAAATACGGTAAAGTATAAACAAATGGTATCTCTAAAAATAATTAAAAACAACTAGCAAATAATATTAATTTAAATAAAATAACTCTAAAAAACTGCTACAGGTTGGTCTAAATACTAAAAAACTAAGAATAATCAAACTAATACTAAAAATAATAATCAGTTTTTTTATGTAAAACTAAATAAGTAATAAATATTTTAGAAGTATTTCTTTTTTTACTGGCAACTCTTAATGTTTTGGTAACGTCTTAGGAGATATATATGTAATGGAATAATAAGTATATTGGTTATAAATAAATATATTATACAAGGCAATAAGCCACATTTCGTAGGTTTGAAGTATGGAGCTAGCTGGTAGCTTGGGTCACACAATAGCTATATTTTGCAATAAAGCAACATTGACCCTTATCATAAGTACATATAGTACTTATTTCCATGGCCATATAAATGTAGTTTATATAAAATCTTATAATAAGTTTAAAGAATTGCTTCAAAAATTAAAATAAAATACAAATTAATAGATAATATATAAAATATTAAAGAATTTAATTAAACATATTGTAGTAAACGCTGCCCTTTGCGTTATAAGTAAGTATTTGTTTTTTTTTTAATTTTTTTTTATTATTAGAATATTATATGGATTTATTAAGTTCATATAATATTATATTACATCAAATACTCAAGAAGCAATGCACCTATATCTTATCTAGATTACGTATATATATATATTTTTATATTAGTCTTCATTAGCTGACTAAGGCACTAAATTTGCAAATACTATTTGCCTCAAAAAATAAGCAAAGTGATATGGCGCTGTTTCGTATAGCAAATACATGATCAGTGAGAATATAGTGGAGAGAACATTAAGGTGTTTTAGCATTGGAACCATGGAAATAAGTAATGTTGGGTCCACAATAAGTGCTGAGTGGTATACCTCCCGTCTGGGACACACGGTGGTCAGCACCAACGGACTGATGCACCGTACAGACCGTCGGCGTTTCTGCCGCCAAAATGTTAGACATTTTACTTTATATAATCACAAATAACGACAAAGGAATAATGTTACACAGCTTAAATTTTTTCTTCATACATAGTTATGAGTAAAACAAATTTTACTTCAAATAACCATAACGGAATAGCAAAGGAACAATGTCATACAGCTTAGCCTTCTGTTTTTTTGTTTTCAGATTTAGGTATGTGTAATTGTTCCTTTAAAAATATAAAGATATTAATATTTTCGTTGTTTCCATATTGTTCTAGATTATTGATGATACGTTCTTAACTTTTATTTTTTAATATAATCTATTATACACGCTGTATAAATCTCTTCTCTCTGTTTCACTCAAGATGTCGTTGTTAGAGTAAATTTAGTTCCTTGTACAATTAATGAAATAACCTATTTTTATAAATTTATCCCTCAATTCAATGGTATTCCATATTAAATAAAAAAGAACATTACATAAATTTTACAACAATTTCTAACTTCTGGTTATAAATATAATTTGAGTTATATTGATTTGTAGTCACGTCAATGGCAAGTTTAAAATATTCATGACCTAGTATAACTTTCCTTAACCTGTTAAATTAGAGAAAAAAAATAACGCCATCAGGCCAATATACTGTCTATTACATTCAATATAATAGAACGTTAATCATACAAGATTTAATTAATTTCTTAGTATTTATTAGAGTTTTCAATCTATAAATACTCTCATATTACTGGCTAGATCTTTCTAACTTTTTGATACTGAACCGATTTTAATAGTTTTATATATATATCTCTAAATAAACCTATAGAAATTAATCCATTCGATTCACTCGCCATAATATGTAGGTAAACAGAAGTTCCCTAAATAACACTAGGACAGTTTTTAAAAAAAAAATCACCATTTTTCATTTCTTACACAAATAAGCATAAATTCCCGCACTTTACCGGCTTAAAAAATTGTAGATACGATAGATTTCTTTAATTTCCCGGTAGGATTTTACAAAAAAATACAGACCTACAATATCTGTAAGATATTAAATTAAAAAAAAACATATTTGCCTTTGAAAAAAAACCTTCCATTAATAAATAACCTCTATTTTAACTCCTTAAATGATGATTGTCACAAATACTTATATTTTTAGGTTAATAGGAAATATTCTTTGACATTAATTATCAATTTATTAATTTTACAGATTTATTACTGTAAGTTCAAGCTCTTCAGTTAATAATTTTTTAGAAATGTTTGCAAATATATACTGTTTTAAGTTTGACGCGGTTATTTATAAGTATAATTAGTAAATCACGGGTTGTTACCACGTTTTATATTAACTTGCCGAGTTCCCGATATTTCGGCAGTGTTTCAACCACCATGATCACCCGTGATCATGGTGGTTGAAACACCATGTTATATAAATATAAAACGTGGTAAGATCCCGTGATCTAACCTTACAAATATATTTACCCATTTTATCTCTATTAAAACCGAGGAAATAGTTGGAATGCAGTCAGTAATCAGACAGGGTGCCATTTTAACAATCTAAAATCTAGAATATGACTATTCCGGATATGAGCCTTTCAAATATATTAAATAAAGATTTAATATTACTGCTCAAAAGATATAATAGAAACTAAAATGGTTTAAGGCCTGAAAGAAATCGCTTTTCAGCGATAAGGCCGCCCATTGTTGCCTCTTTGTATCGCGCAGTATTGTATGTTTATATATTTGTACATAATAGTGTATGTAAATGTTTTTTAAAAATTTCATTTCTATTCATGTTTTTGCGCGTCGTATTTCTACAATAAATTTTGTCAAAAATATGCTTTATAAGTAGGACATTAGAACATAAATTACGAGTCTAATATTTATTAAATAACGTGGAGTCTACATGCAGTCTATTTGGTCTCTACTTGTTGTCTTCTTGTAAGTTTCTTTATTGATATATTTAGATTTTTTTGTAGCTTTAACTTATGCAAAATTCACATTGTATTTGGAATCTAACTTTATTTTTCTAAAATAAAAGTAGCCTAAGTTACTCCTTATTACATCAGCTACCTGCCAAAAAAAGTCCTGTCCTGTCCTGAAATGGCTGGACCGATTTGTCCAGCCATTTCGGAGATTATCCGGAACCAACAGACAAACAGACAGAGAGACAAAAATTGTAAAAAATGTTATTTTGGTGTATGTACCGTATTTATATTCATATGCATGTAGTAAAAAACGGTTATTTCAATATTACAAACAGACACTACAATTTTATTTATATGTATAGATGTTATATTAATAAGTAATCCAATACAAGACTTAGAAATGCTAGACAGGAAGAAATACGAAAATAAGATTCAGTTCGATCAATAATATCGTAAAGTACAAGTACGTTATCCATACGTCATAACACCGATTTTCCAGGCTACTCTAATGCTGTTGGCCGCAGCTGGCCTTTACAGCTTCACCGCACGATAGGGGGCGAGTGCAGATGGTACTCCGAACCCGCGGAAGGACTTATGGAGCGGATGAAGGCCAACTCCCACCTGACTGATACGACTTTGTCCTGAGGGCACCGCTAGGGACTCGTAATTTCGATCCCTGTGTGAATTGGACGGAGGATCGATCGGAGGAATACAATTTCTTTTTTTTTTGGACTACTCTAATGCTGTTGGCCGCAGCTGGCCTTTACAGCTTCGCCGGATGTTAGGGGGCGAGTGCAGATGGCACTCCAAACCTGCGGAAGGACTTATGGAGCGGCTGAAGGCCAACTCCCGCCTGACTGATACGACCACCGTTAGGGGTTCGAACCTAGGTTCGGACCGTCGTAATTTCGACTTTGTGTAAAGTCTAGATTAGTAAAATTGTAATATAATAATGCGATAAACGCGAAAGTTTATGAGTTGGGATGAATGAATAGATAAATATTTGTTACACTTTCACGCAAAAACTACTAAACGGATTTTGATGAAACTTTACAGTAACATAGCTCATATATCAGAATAATATATAGGCTATAATTTAAAAATATATTATGTAATTTTACCGAAATATAATGATAAATGTCAAGTAATTGTGATGCAGACGAAGTTGCGCGGGAAAGCTAGTATTATAACCGCGAAAGTTTGTTAGTATGGATGAATGAATGTTTGTTACTCTTTCACGCAAAAACTACTAAACGGATTTGGAAGAAACTTTACAGTAATATAGCTTATACATCAGAATAACACATGGGCTATAATTTAAAAAGATATTAGGAATGCGCGAATAAATTACGCGAAATTTAATGATAAATGTCAAGTGTGATGCAGATGGAGTTGCGCGGATGAGCTAGTATTATATGTACCTGGTACTTCTGGGGGCAGCAGCCACACCGCGCGCAGCACGCGAGCAGCGCCGGCGCCCGACCCGAGTGCGCGGGTGATGCCAGTGGCGACGGTGAGCCAGGCCGCTTGGCCGCACCGTTGTAAGGATTTTCCATTTCGACGAATTCCCGATCCTGTAGTTAGTTAGTGATAAATGGAAGAGAAGAATATATTACTCCGGCCCCAAATAAATGGATAAGAAGAAGAAGGAAGAAGCAGATGATGATTATCTCAGTTAGTGCTAGTTGGTAGTTTGTATTCACACATTTCGAATGTAAAGTTACAACGATTATTTAAAAGAGCAACACGCAAACTGTGTTCCTGATTCTTCTTGCGATGATATACCTTTCCAAAAGAGCGGTAGATCAAAAAAATTGTGATGACTATTCAAAAGTGCTTAAATTAAATTTATTTGAATAAATTATTTTATATTGTATTGTATCCAGTCTGTCATTTATTTTTAGCTCTGAAGCACTGTGAGCTGACGGTAGATTTGACACATCATAAGTCTGTAATAGACCTACATGAATGAAGATATTTTGACTTTGATTTAACGTAAGATTTACCGTTACCGGATATTGAGTAAAAACAACATATGCATCATGACTAGATGATGTGTGAAATTCAGGTGATATGCAAATTTTGCTAAACTAAAGAGAAAACGTCACTACACATCCTATGTGGTTGTAGCCCCCTCATGTATAAACGTAATGTCCTTTGCAAGTTTTACAGAGTCCATCCTGGGGAGATAAAACCATCGTTTCTAAGAATATCCTTAAATTCTTATCTGTGATGTGTCTAGGTAACTTTGAAAAAAGGCGAGCATAATAGATTTATGTAGATCGCAGTGCTACAGGTCCAAGCACCTGACAAAAGCCCAAACAACACAATAAAAAAAAAAGATTTACCGTAGTGCGCTCCAAACATCTCAACAGATGGTGGTGCTGCAACTCGAAAATGTCTTCATCCCGTCCAGCATCATCCAACTCCACGCCAGACTCCTGCGCAGCCAGCCTCGCTTCGGCTGCCTTCTTCTTTGACACGAAGGCAGCTCCTGATGATGCTTTCGCGATACGAATGCGAGCGAGACGGGCTTTCTGTAATAATAATAATAATAATAATAATCTCAGGACAATTCACACAGCGCCATCTAGACCCAAGTTAAGCTAGCTAAAGCTTGTGTTATGGGTCCTAGACAACTGATACAAATACATAGATAATTTAAATACATACATATTATACATAGAAAATACCCAGACCGATACAAACAATCATACTCATGAATACAAATGTTTGTGCCGTGCGAGGAATCGAACCCGCGACCATCGGTCGTAAAGCGGTAGACTAGACCGCTAGACCACCGAGGTCGTCAATGTAATGGGAAAGTAACTGTTATGTTCCTATTTTAGTTATAATAATAGCCCGAGATAATTCACCCAGCGCCATCTAGTCCCAAGCTACGAAAACCTGATTTTATAGGTGTGACACAACTGATGTAAATACATTGTGATTATATACATAAAGGGTGAACAGGATTGTTAGTAATATAGACTGATGACCCTATAGCTAACAATTACTATATCAGATTGACCTTCATTCGTCCCTGGTAACCATCATGATAAATTCCTCTGAATTTGTCACGGTGGGCTACTGGATCTGACCTCTTGTTCATCTTATCGTCTTCCACTTGTTCCCCGCCAGCGTATAGCGTTAACGCAGGCGGTGGTACCATCCATTCCATCATCATCCGTTAAAAAAAATTAGACACAAGAAACCTCGAGACAAACAATCATTTTCATGGATAAAAAGGCTTGCATCTTGAATGGAATAGAACTAGTGACAATCGAAAGTAAAGTGGTGTGCTGAACTGGTAGACTACCGAGGCTAGAATGGCAAATGAGCTGACGGTTGACCTGATGCAGTTGACCAGACTAGGACTATGATCTGATTTGTATATATATCTTATATATACAAATCAGATCATAGTCCTAGATAGATATATATATACAAATGAACAAACAAGATATACTCTAGAATTTTTATCTGTTCATTTATGGGCATAATCCCAGAAATTTGCAATATCATATGCTGGAGTTCACTCTGTTCTCCCAAGTTTGAATTTAAAAATTAATCTGTATTATTACTATTTCTATTCTATTCTATTCTATTGTAAACATGTATAATATTAATTTGAAAAGAATACGAGCTGAGTTTCTTGTCAGTTCTTCTCATCTCGAAATCATTCCGAAATGACGGTAGATTTGACATATCATAAGAATCTGTAATAGACCTACATGAATAAAGATATTTTGAATTTGAATATGAAATAGAAATAATCTTAATGAAAAAAATGAAAAAATGTCTACTTTCAAAAACAATTTGATTACAATAATATAGTGTTCGGGATGACGTATAAGAAGCGATGCCTGTGTCAGGTACTTCCAGCTCTTCTATATCTATACCTATACCTATATATTTTTTAAAAAGAAAATTTAAACATTGTACATCAAATTAAATTTATTTCATTAAACATCTGTACGGGCAACCGCACATGCCTGCTTTCTGTGCTACATGAGGTGAAATTGCATGTGTTGGCAATTGTGCCGACACATGCAATTTCACCTTATAATGCATATCACCTCATTACATTTCTTTTAGCAATAAAATCAGTGTTCGAGTAGCATTCAACCAACGCGGTTTTATTTAGCAAAAATCCCTCATCAATCTATCAATCAATATATCAACTAATATCATTATCATGGAAATGCGGCCTTAAACCCGCACAATATCAAAATATAATTAAAATAATGGATTCTAAAAACAAAATTTAATTGTATGCTTCGACATAAAATTTGGAGTGTTTATACCACACATGAAAATCAATCTGTTTAAAAACAAAAAAGATATACGTATCCTCTGGGTCTTGCGTTTGTCAGGCCTCTGGTTCTGATGGTAGATCCTGGAGAAGTTGGACACGATGACGGGTACAGGGAGCGTGTCAGTTACAAAGTCTAGAGCTCCGATAGTGTCAGTTGGTTCTGACAAGATCCTGGAGAAGTTGGACACGATGACGGGTACAGGGAGCGTGTCAGTTACAAAGTCTAGAGCTCCGATAGTATAAGATACGTACCCTCTGGGCCTTCCGTTTATCAGTCTTCTGGTTCTGATGGTAGATTCTGGAGAAGTTGGACACAATGACTAGTATAAAATACATACCCTCTGGGCCTTCCGTTTGTCAGCCCTCTGGTTCTGATGGTAGATCCTGGAGAAGTTGGACACGATGACGGGTACAGGCAGGGCGATGACGAGCACTCCAGACAGTGAACAAACGCCGCCCACGATCTTGCCAGCTATCGTCCCTGGTACCATATCACCGTACCTGAAACATTGGAGAAAACTTTTAATTTGGGATTCAGTCTACCTTTCTTCTTAGATAATTCACACAGCGCCATCTAGTCCAAAACTATCAGGGACATAACCTCATAAACCTTACTATATAATATTCCTAGCTACCCGCCCTGAATTCGCACTGTTGTACATGTATTATACATATAAACCTTTCCCTTGAACCACTCTATCTATTGCTGATAACTGCACTAAAATCCGTTGCGTAGTTTAAAAGATCTAAGCGAACAAACACCGGAAGAGACTTCATTTTATACTATACTAGCTACCCACCTCGGCTTCGGCCGGGTGTACATGTATTATACATATAAACCTTCCTCTTGAATAACTCTATCTATTAATAAAACCGCTTCAAAATCCGTTGCATAGTTTTAAAGATTTAAGCATACATAGGGACGGACAGACAGCGACAGCGACTTTGTTTTATACTATTTAATGATAAAGATTACTCTTTCATGCAAAAACTACTTAGTGGATTTTAAAGAAACTTTATAATAATATACATCAGACTTAATCATAGGCTATAAACTTCACGCAGATCAAACTGCGGGCACTGCCAGTAGTAGGCTATACATATAAATATAAAACTTACACTTACAAAGTCATAAGCACCCGGGCACAGCCAGGGCGGATCGCTAGTCAATAACATAACAAAACCTTCAGTTGCATCAATGTTCCATCCACACCCACTCACCTTCAATCTCACAAACAAACCATCATAGTACGAGATACGGCATCAAAAGTATGTACCCTATCTGTATTTGAAATTTATTAAAATTTTATAATCTCTAAGTACATATTGGATATTTTATTTAATTACCAGTACATTGCTGTAAGTCTTTGATATTATTATATAATTTGATATTTATTATTTAATAATTATAATGATCTCAGGACAATTCACAGCACCATCTAGACCCAAGTTAAGCTAGCTAAAACTTGTGTTATGGGTACTAGACAACTGATACAAATACATAGATATTTTTTTTTGTAAATACATACATATTATACATAGATTTATCGTGTCACAGTTTTCGTTCCCATACTCCTCCGAAACGGCTTAACCGATTCTCATGAAATTTTGTGAGCATATCTATATCTGAGAATCGGCCAACATCTATTTTTCATCCCCCTAATTGTTAGGGGTGGTCCACCCCTAAATTTTTTTTTTATTTTAAGGCAAAACAACGTTTGCCGGGACAGCTAGTATATTTATATATAATATTTACTATATTTTTGTTGTTAATATTACAGTTATCTATCATCTCTTAGTTCTGCGGTCTGCATGAGTGTGTGTGTGTGTGTACGTGTATTTATATTTATATAATGGATGTCAATAAATGTTATTCTGTCTTTCTTTCTCAGTAAGATGCCGTATCTTGGACTAGGTCGTAAACAGTTAAAATAATTTTGTTACAGTTAACAAGAGCATGCAGGTGCAACGTCAAGTTGTTTACGTTCATAATCTTGGATAATTTATGTGAAACACGTATGGTACGACTAAATTAGAGTTTGTATTTTAAAATGAAATGTAGGCGTTTGTAATAATTATAGATGTATTAGATAACCAGCACAACATCATCTGCGTCATATTCCCCATTTCTGCAATACTTTTTCATTGATCAACGGCCCCGGTAGTCTAACGGTTGAGCACACCGCTTTACTTCCGATGGTCTCGGGTTCGATTCCCTGAACGGTGTAAACGTTTGTATTCTGTTTACTGATTAATGTGTATTTACTTATAACAACGTTTATTTAAAAGAGTATCACGTAAGTTTGATGCTAATTCTTCTAGTGACGAGTCTACGTTCCGAATGAGTGGTACAATAAAAAAAATAAGAGGATTTTTGCCTTCTTTGAAAAATGATGGATCCAATATTAAATTATTATTCAATTTACCGTTTTTGCAATACTTTTTCATCCGCCGCTTTACTTCTGATAATCGCGGGTTTGATTCCTCGCACGGTGCAACTGAGTATGATTGTTTGTATAGGTCTGGGTGTATTCTAAGTATATTATGTATGTACTGAAGACTGAAAAAGAGATGGATGGACAGTGCGAAAGATTATATGGTAAGAAAGGGAGAAAATAACGAGATGACTGCGAACAGGGATGAATGGAAGAGAAAAACATTACGCCGACCACAAATAAATGGGATAAGGAAGAAGCAGATGATGTGTTTTGTTATCTATACGTGCGCTGTCTCATGTCTGTTGGCCTCACAAAAATTACCTGTGGTATATATACCTATATCTATATACTGTGACTGATAGAGTGATCTATCAACGCACAGCCCTAACCACTGGACGGATCGGACTAAAATTTGGCATGCAGGTAGATGTTATCACGTAGGCATCCACTAAGAAAGGATTCTGATTAATTCTCCCAAGGGTATAAAATAGGGGATGAAAGTTTGTATGAAACTTTGTCAATTTTAAACCAATCGGGCTGAGACTTTGCATGCATAAAGCTACTATGACGTACGCATCCCCTAAGAAAGGATTTTGTTAAATTCCACCCCTAAGGCGATAAATTAACGCGAGCGAAGCCGCGGGCAAAAACCAGTCACAGTATAAATGCTGAGTGGGAAACACATTCAGCATAACCAGTATGTTTAGCTTTTAAGTTACATAGGAAACATTATTGAAAATGCGAATGCTGATATAATGCTGAATAAATATCTACTATAGCCTATAGAAAAATAACACAATAAAATAAAAAAATTAAGGGTATTGAGACAGTGAATTACAAATGTTAAATGATATGTACTGAGCAAAGCCTATTACTCACTAAACGATTACTTGAATGACGAGCGTGCAGGGCAATAGTTGTTCACGCACTGGATTTTCATTTAATGTTAGACATAGACACCTATATAAATAAACTGGCTTTTAAAAAAATATATACAATATTCAATTGAGTTTCTTGCCAGTTTTTCTCAATTGGATCTATATACTGAACTGGACGGTAGGGAAAAAAATATAACATAAAAATTCGACATTCATAATATATAAATTCTACATGAATAAAGGATTTTATAATATAATAGAAAATCCTTGAATCAAATAAATTTAATTTAAGCACTTTTAAGTAGTAATGACATTTTTTTTAATCTACCGCTCATTCGGAAAGCTTTCTCATCACAGGAAGAGTGAGCAAGAACTTGTGAGGCGTGACATCTCAGTCCTTAGTAATGGTAAAGTATGAGTATCACGGATGCAACATGATAACGTGATGTCCGTAGTGCTGTTCATGTTATACGTAACGATTACTACATACCATCATGCGGGCCTTAAACTTGTTTTCAGTTCTAATGACAAACTATTTTGAACATTTCGTGTTAGACGGTGAGTGACCTAACATAAATAATCCGAAATGAACTGCTATTAAAGTCAACTGAAGTACCAGTATAACTGTTATTTGATTTATTTGCATGTGTCCTATTATTCTGCATGTTATTGTGTCTACAATCAGATTTCAAGTTAGCGAAACTAATTTAACTTTACTAGATGCAAATTAAACACAAAATACACTGTGATAATAACGGCTGAAGATATATAGGCACTTAGGATGTGGAATGAACTTCCTGCCGAGGATTTCTCACGAGACTACAGCATGGGGTTTTTCAAGAAGGGTATATTAAGATTTCTGAAGAGTCGGCAACGCGCACGGACACCCATGGTGTTTCAGGCGACCATAGGCTACGGTGACCATTTACCATCAGATGGGACGTATGCCTATTTGCCACCATAGTAGTATAAAAAAAAATTATGGGGTATTTTATTTTATTACCTTTTGTTACCTATTGCAGTAAAAAGACCTACTATACTATGTAGAGATTATTACAAATATTGTAAATAACGCCATCTAGTATTTATGGACCGAACTAAGTTATTTGTCATAAGAAATCCATTACTCTCGCTTCTCTTCCTACTACACTGACTTCGGTCTATAAATACGGAGGTCGGTAGTTGAATAATCCTCCCCTCCGATCGATCCCCCGTCCAATTCAAACGGGGATCGAAATTACGACGGCCTGAGCCGAGGTTCGAACCCCTAGTGGTGCCCTCAGACTAAAGTCGTATCCGTCGGGCAGGAGTTGGCCTTCAGCCGCTCCATAAGTCCTTCCGCGGGTTTGGAGTGCCATCTGCACTCGCCCCTAACGTCCGGTGAAGCTGTAAAGGCCAGCTACGGTCAACAGCATTAGAAGAGTCCGAAAAAAATAAATTGAATAATTCTCTTTCGTTGGGTGAACCACGGCATTCAGACGACCATCGCAGGGCGTGCCGGTTGTGTTTTGAATATTAAAGTTAATTGTATTAGAAATGGGTTTATCCCGGTCTCAGTTGGGCCTGGGGGGAAGCTGCAAGTAGTGAAGGTGAGTGTTAATGCATTCTAAAAGGGCCTTTTAAACCTACACCTAATAAGTCACGAGCGCTACTGGGAGTTTTCCTGACGGTAGCCGGTTTCAAAGCCTAAGTTGTTATCGTTTATTAGTGCTTCTTACATTTTATTATTTTCATATAATATATAACATAAGACATTTACCACTTACCATGGTTCGTTAACATTTAGTTAGAAGATTTTCTTTTAGTTTCCATTAATTAAAAGAAAACCTTCTTTTAAATAGAAAAATATTGATTTATGTTTTTTTATTTAATTTGTTATCCGTCATAGATAGATAGATAATTGATTTATTGCCTACATAACACAAATAATACAATTTACAATAAGACAAAAAACAAGAAATAAATAATAACATGGAAGTTGGCAATAGGAGCTGCCTTAGCTGTTGCTGATATAAGGACAACCTTAGTGAGTTGCACCTATACAGCGCTGGTTTTCAGGCAGCCCCCATTACTCATAAAAAAAAACCAAAGATGCGGGTTTTTTACTACATACAGATACATATAATTTAAACACAAAAATAATATATTAAATAAGATCTAGGATACACAATATAAATATATATAG